CCTAAACTGTAGCGTGGGCAGACAGATGAAATAGCGGTAAATTGTCTTAATTTTTCTTTGAAGCACTGCAGTACTTTTTCTTTCAAGTCTGTTCAAATAGTCGTGCCATGAAAATGCATCTTACACAGCCACTCTGGATATATTGTACTGTAAATATAGCAATCGCTGTCATAACTTGGAGTTAAAATGTCTGGATGGTAACTAGTGCCTGTCTGATGTAAATTGGAAAAGAGCATTAGGCCTTCCTCCTAAGGTGCTGTTTCAAAATAATTATTTACTATTTTGCTTCTGGGAAATTGTGAGAGATCCTGGACAAAATGTTGCTATGCCACATTGAGATCCAAACAGGGATTTTTGGGTTTTGCTGTAAAGGAGGTCCGTAAAACTCCTTGGGTTTGGTTTTCAGTGTCATTGTAAATACGTGAAACTGTATGTGTCTTTGTGTCTGAAACCGAATTCAATGTGGTGACGGGAGGGGCCAAGAGGAAGGGCAAAGGCAATGCTGTGAGGTGCTGCTGGCTTTCCCTGGCTAAAACCCGCTGCAAATTAGTGACTTGGCTGAATTGCAGCCTGGCTGAGGGCTTCGGAATGAATGAATGAATGAAAAATTAACGGGATCAGTATCAGCCTCACACGTGAATGACTGACTAAATGCAATAAAAGGCTAATGGACAACACTATTACTCTGGTCATCACTTTGATTACAGATTTTTTTTTTATTATAAATTTGAGTACATGCATTATGTAATTTGTAAAATGACTCTGTAGTGGAGACCTTGCTACACCACTATTAAAAATCTTCCCTGTTTGTGAGATAAGAGGTTTGTAGAATAGCGAGATTCTTTCGTATGTTGAATCTTAATCTGTTCCTAATGGTGGGAGTGCTGAAGTAATGTATCTCACTGTGATCTGGTACTTTGGTATTTGCATAAAATGGCAGTTCTGTATATTCTTTTGGCTAACTGTAAATATAAATGTTTCATAGTAGCATAGTTGAATTTTTGAGGTACAGCCATTTGTGTGAGATTAGAAAGAACAACTATTTCTAAGAACTTGTAAAAAAAAATATTTTCAATAAAATTCCCTACCTCACCTCTATTGTGCAGAAATTATCCCATTGTCCTATGTTTAGTTTTCCCCCTTCATTTTTAAACACAAAGGAGATCCCTTTTCAGTTATTGGCAAAATGTTGCTGTTTTTCATTGAATCAACTGAACAGCAGAACACTTGAAAGTCCAAAGTCACTAGTTTGCTTTGCTTTCTTTATATTATGGTGATCAGGTATTTGATACCTGAAAAGCAAAGTCTAGAAATTTTATGCTCTCTTAAGCTGCTCCCTTGCTCTACCCTAGGATCAAGAGCTTTATTGTATAGTGGCTGGGCCTGCTTGGTTATATTTTTTTTTTTTTTTTTTTTTTTAGCAGTGGGGAGTGGTGGGTGAGGGGGTGGGTGACAAGAGCATACCTAGGATCGTTGAAGACCTTTGGGGAAAAGGTTCCCTATCCTTGTTGCACAGTGAAGGGGATTGACCAAACACTTTGTTTGCTTTCTTGAATTGGGATGTAAATGCACATTCCTGTAATCAGTTTCTAAAAGTAACTTCCAAGTCTTTTATGGCAAACTGAACTAGCTAGTTAATTCTTCCTTTCTCTGAAATGTTTTAACTCCTTACACCTTTAAAAAAAAAAATAATGCCACGAGCATTCTCTCGCATTGCCACTAGGAAAGATGCTTTCTCTGGCTTCTCCTGAGGCAGACAGAGCAAACCCAAATCAAATCTTTAACCTTAGGAGTTTTGGTTCTTGGGTTTCATTCCTCTATCTTCCTGCACTTACAATGACACTGCTTTTCTTACCATGGGTCAGAGATTGTGTTCTTTGACACCACCTGTAAAATTTCCTTTTGGAAGCTGCCTCATGGCGCAGGTCCCCATGGGAAGTGGAAAGGAGGGGAGAAAAGGCATTCTGCTCTGTGTATTGGAAGCCCTTCTTCAGGAGAACTCCTGTTTTATTTCTATGCAAGAACCAGAGTTTTGATAGGAGGGTAAAAAACAAAAGACTGGGGTTACTGGGCTGAATGTCTGCTCCCTTGAAGGGGAAGGCTGATGCATGTATTTTGAGATGTAAATTTTTACATCATATTGCTGTTTGTGGTTTCAAGACCAGCATAAAATAGCTGGGTTGGCATACCTAAGAGCCCACCCTTTTCCTGAGACTGGAGTGGTAGCTCAGAGCTTTAAATATCACTGCATAAAAGAGATACTAGCTCTCCCCTACAATGATAAAAGGACAGCGTATTTTCCGGTTCTCAAATTTAAGCTCCATATCTTGAGGGAACTTGGCATCACAGCACAGTGGTCATACCTACTACTTGGCAGCCTGCATGCGTTGTAACGGGTTCTTCACTGTTTTAGAAACAAAGACTGTGCTCTCTTTAAAACAGGAAGGCTTAGCCTGTTCAAATGCTATAAATAATTAAGCAAGTGTGACCCTCCTCGCTGTCACCTTTTCATTGCAAACAAAAGGTTTCAAGGAGGTTTGTAGGGTTTCTCACCCTTTCCCCTTACTACCTTAGGTACCTTATTACAGGTATCTGAATTACCTGGATTTTTATGTGAAAAATCTACGATCTCATCTAGTAAGAAATATGCAAAGTTAGGCTTGTCTTGTAGCATGTTCTACTAGAGTGGACTCAGCCGAGTGACCCAAGGTGCCCCAAACAAACTTACTGCTTGGTTTGTCTGTGAGCACAGGGCTGGGATGCAATCTCCCCTGTTCTCCAGCATCATGAAGCTGAAACCTTTGTTGCAAGTGCTGGCCTTAAACAACCACCTCATTTGCTAAGGCTGGTTAAACAAAAGCAAAAATGCGCATTCACATTTTGATTAAAAACTCAGGTTAAAAGTTTTACAAACCTCTCAAGTTGGAGACTAAGTCTAATTAGATGGATTAAGCATGCTATTTAAATTGCAAATAACTCATAACCTTAATATTGGAGAACTCAGACTTTTTAACAAAAATGCTAGTTTTGCTTATGACACATGCATAAGGAGGGGGTTTTGTAATTCTGACTTTTTTTTCATTAACTAACTGTATATCCTAGCATATTCCCATTCTTCCCCTGCTAATGACTGTCATCTCAGTTTCATTTCATGCTAAATAAAAACTCATATTCACATTGCAGCTGTGTTGGAGACACTACCTTAATCTGAGAAGAATTAATATACATGATGACATTAAGTACATCCCACTCGCGTTCCTATGCCAGGGCTCCTACCTTTATTCTGCAAGGTACTTCAACGTGAAGTTGCTGTGGATTTTTGGCATGAGGACCAACTGGTATTCCTCAAAACGGGACTGTTAACTGTTTGAACTTTGAAGAGTACTGTGATGTTAGGATTTCTCTTATACTGGCATAATGTTCTGGCGTTGTTATGTGACATCATTATACCTACAGAAACTATTAATAAAGAATTTTGCTAGAAGTACTGATTTTGCTTTGCTTTTATAAAGTTTAGGCCAACTCTCTGAAGTCAGGCTACTGGAATAAAATAAAGTTTGAAAGCTATTTAAGTAACTAAATGTTTAGAGCTCTTGGGAAGGTTGATTTTATATAAAACTTAGAATTCCCTTCTTTCCTTTTTGTAAACCACTAATTTTCATGTTACTGCTGGCAAGCCAGGGTCTTGAATTCTTGAGAGCTCAGCCCTTAACAGTTGTCAGGCTGAGATTTACTGCATCTCTTCTGGAGCCTAGGTGCTTACAAAGGCACAGTAACCAATTTTTGGTTTCTACAGTGTCTCATTCCCCTGAAATTTTAAATTTGAATAATACTCAGGAAGAAGCCTTATCAGAAAGAGGACAATCTAAATACTAATACCTATTTTGGGGGGTTATTAATATACAATAATGTTCCTCAAATTTATTTAATTTTGCTAGTAGTAGCTAGTTATACTAACTGTAAAAATTATTTTCGCAGTGCAGATGGAGATTGTTACGTGTCGTCTAATTACACAGTGCTCGAGGTGTTTCTCAAAACAGTTCAAGTTTCAGAATCAAATTTGCTGTTCTATTTCAGATTAAGGATATTGAAAAATAGCAGTAGCCTGGCTAGTGATTCAAACAGCATCTTACAGCCTTTGCAAATGAGAGAAAGGTAATGCTGCTGTGCTTTTGCTGCTCTGCATCAGCAAACAGAAGGGTGAGAATTAAAACGCATCACTCCGAACACAAAAAATATGCCACTCCATGAAGAGGAAGTTCAGAGGGAATCATATCTATGTGCATCAATACCTCATGGGGCAGTAACAAAGATGGAGCCAGACTCTGTTCAGTGTTACCGGTGATGGGACAAGGGCACCTGACGTACAAGACAGTGTTCAAACATAAAAACATTTTTACTGCTAGGGTGGTTGAACACTGGAATGTGTTGCCTAGAGAAGCTGTGTAGTCTCCATCCTTGGTGATACTCAAAGCCAAGGGGATAAGGGCCTGAGCAACCTGCTTCAGCCAGCCCTGCTCAGAGCAGTGGGACTGGACTAGCTCATCTCCAGAGGCCCATCCCAACCTCAACCAGTCTGTGACCTTAAACCGCCCATAAAATGTACTGCTTCCTTCAGAAATGACAGTCACAAAGTCTAGACTTAGAATTCTAGCCAGACTAGGAAATTATCTTGATGTAAGCTTAATAAAGACGCACATGTGTACACCTGGGTATCTCTTGTCATTATCACTCTCCTAGTGCTATGGTAACTCAGTAACAAAGGACTGATAGATGTTTGCAAAGACTAATTATTTTTTTTCACCAGCTAAAAAGTAAAGGGCCCATCTAGCTAAATAAAAGCTGCAGTACATTTCATGCCGATAGTTATATGGTTTTGGGGTTCCTGTGGGATCATCACAGGCACGCTTCATGACTCATCTGCAAGTCTGAGGAGAGCTTCCTGCAGAGCTTTCACAGAGCTTTCAGCACCTGCAACACTTTCTGCCAATAGCACACATTCCAGAGGTTTTTACAGACAGACTGGCATTCCAACTTACCTTGCCTGTCACATACCGGTGATGGTGATGTGTGGAATTTTTTCTCTTAAAGTCTCTCCAAATACAACAAAACGCCATCCAGTGTTCACAATGAAGGAATGCCCACTCCAATGAGCACAGACATTGCAAAAAATGATCCTTTAATCATACTGCTGTCTAATAATAGACTCCATGTACACAGTTGGTCTCTGGTATTTCTGCTGCCACTTTTAAGTCCAGTTCTTCCTGATCTTTTTTCACAAGTAGAAATTTTTTATATGGAAAATGTATACTCGTTTGGCAAGAGTTTTGAACAATTCACTGTCTTCCTTTCACAAAAGGATGGTCCAGCAACTGCAGAGCAGAAGGGCGTTCATGTTGATCTCTGCATTGAGGGTTTGAAAAAATCAGTACATAAAATGAATATGCATGCCTGTGAAGTAATTGTAAAATCTAAATGCAGACTTCGCCTTTTTTTTTCCTCATTTCTCTAGTCATTACTCATTTTTAGAGGTTTTTTTTTAATAAAGCTGGTAGAAAGGAAAGTAGGATTTATGGGAAGAGACTTTTGGAATTTATGAATTATAAAACTGAAATATTTTATTGTTACAGAAATCATTCTTTGTTCCTCTAGACTGCTTCCAAAACTTTGAATAATTGTGCTGATGTGGGTGTTTTAGGTGCACCAATAATGTATTTAAGGAGGGTTACAATTACTTGTTTGATCCTGTGTCAGTCTGGATGTTCTGCCACTCCAATCAACACCATTCGTGTTAAGGAGTCCATTTGGAATTACAGTATTGTAATTACAATATTGACTTGCTAAAGCCAAGGGCTTTGGGCTTTTTAACCCTCAATTTGGAGAAAAAAAAAAACAGGGGAAGGAGTAAAGGACACCAATTTCTTAAAGAATAAACTCATGGAGAATATGGGATGGGGGAGAAATTTATATTTAGGACATGGTGAGATCATACATTAGAACTTTGCTGCCATGGTGCATCCTGACTTTTGAAAAGGTAAATGCTTCATTATAACTGCTTTATACCTACACCTAACAATTCCTCCTACCTTTTAAACAAAGTCTGTATGATGTCTCTATATACAGTTCACAATTTTTCTGGTTATTGTTCTATGGTCCACAGGAACTGTAACTGTACCATAACAATTCTAATCCAGGGATTAGAAATCAGGCTTCCTGCCTCCAAGACCACTGCCATACCCACTAAATAACATGCTTCTCTCTAGCACTCAAATCCAGTCTTTAGAGATATGTAAAAAGCTGCTATTAATTTTGTAAAAACTACCTGTAGAGGTCAGGAACTTAGCTCTTGAAATTAATAGTCCATCTAGGACAA